GTAGCGCATGCCAGTAATTCCAGCTATTTGGAAGGCTGAGGCGGAAGGATCACTGGAGCCCAGTAGGTTGAGGCTGCAGTGGCTGGGAGTGGCCACTGCACTCCAGTCTGGGCAACAGAGTGAGACTCCAACTCAAAAAAAAAAAAAAAAAGATAATGGCATACGTGGCAAAGCAATCAAATAGTACAGAAAGACTTAGAAAAGAAAAGGTCGTTCTGTCTTACACTTTCTCACCTCTAGGTCCACTTCCCTCTGGTAACCATGCACGACCATTTTCATTCTTAATTTTTTTGCTGGTTACCTTCATCATTTCAACTCTAGACATTTCCTTGTTTTGAAATATTTAGCTCACTCTCCAATTTCAGATCAATTATTACTTTTCTTGCTTCTGTTGGTTATCTGTGTAATTTTATATAATATAGTTACACATCTTATGAATTATTCCAACCTATGAGTTGATGCTTTATAGCTCATATGCGATCCTGCTCACATTTTAGTCAGCTTCACACTTGGATCATAACTTTCTTGGGTTTTGCTTTTCCTGGACTTTCTCATTATCTTTTGGTTTCATATGGGACTTATTTATCATATTCATTGATATCTTCCTCCCACTTCTTACTGAATCATCTATGAACAATGTACTCCAACCTTTTTGACTACCGTCTTTTCAAAGAACATTTAGTTTCCTGCTCTGATTCAGAGTGAATATTTTCTGGGCCTGCGACATGACGGCCATTCTGAGGTTACTTTCACTGAATCCCTAGGTCAGTTTTACTATTTTATAAAATCTGTATCTTTCTCTTTTTGGTTACAATCTTATTTTACTTACATGTATGTTCTTAGGTGGTTTCCTCAAAAATAAGTTACCTTAAAAAGACAAATATTCTAAGACCTTAAGTCTCTGAAAATGTCTTTATTTGTACCTCTTTCTTAGCTTTTATGATTCCATTCTCTCCTGATTTCCCCTATCTCACCAGCTGTTCCTTCTCAGGCCAGCTACTTCTCTATAAGACTTCTAAATACTGAAACTCCTTAGTACTCAGCCCTGTTCTTGCTGCTGTCCCGATGGTGTCTTTCTTGACATTATCCATCCCATGGTTCCAAATGTCACTTCCCTATGCAGACTACTCTTAAATTTAAATCTCTAGCAGAGATTTTCCTTTGAGATCCGGAGTACACATCTAGCTGTGTAATTTACATTTCCATTTGGATGTCTCACAGGCATCTCCAACCTAACATATGCAAGGCCACACTCTTCATTCCAACATTTCAACTACCTAAATCAGCTTTCCACATCTCAGAAGTGAAATGACCATCTGCCCAGTTACTCAAATCAAAAATCTTGGAGTCATCCTTGGTTTGTTATCCCTCAACCCCCATATTCAATCCATTACCAAATTCTGTCTTTTTAATATCCAAAAAAAAAAATACCTTGAAACACGCACCTGTCCATCTCTCCCCTACCATAGTCCTGGTCAAGCCATCAACAGCTCACACATGCTAATGCAACAGATTTCTGCCTTGCCTTCCTCAAATTATTACCTCATATGTCATCCAAAGTAGATGCATTCTGATTTAAACTTTATTTAAACCTTCCCAAAAGCTCGCTTCGTGTATTTTTACTATTCAATGTACTTTTTGCAATAATATTTTTAAAAAAATAAAAAAACTAGTAATTAAGTGAGAATACCTCTCTGAATGAAATAAAAACTTAAACTTCTTAATGTCCTCCACAATATTTTCATATACATAAATTAAGAATTTGAGGTACAAAGCTGAACTGAATCCTAAAATTTTCCTTGTCTACCAACTCAAGACGCCTTACTTCACAGAAAACTCGACTCCTGTTCTGGGCTAAACAAAGTTTCTCTGCCTCACATATGCCTCTGAGTCACAAAGATTACTACCAGATGGTGCTAACCTACAGATCAGAAGCACCCCAGTCCAACGCTGCACATTCAAGTGACCATTTAAACTAATCAACTAAATCATCCCTGTAATTTCCCCTATATCTTTGTATAGGGTAACTACTTCTTAAAACTTATGCTCACAATGCTTAATTTATACCTTTCCTTAAAAATGTGTAAATGCTATGAAATAAAACCATTTGTAAGAATACACTGTATTGGAATGTTAATGTCATTTTGTAAATTTTATCACCTTGTTAAAAAATAAGGATTGAATTAAGAAAGTCTTACCAATTTTAAAGACTAACATCATAGCTCACAATTCAGGAATGCAAATACATACCTGATTAATAGCAGCTCCATGTAAAAATGATTTTGAACCACAGTATACTGTAAGTGATAAAGAGCAGAGGTTTGGGGGTCTTACTGCCTAGATCTGAATTCTAACTCCACTATAACACTCCTGTTTGACCTCCAGCAAGCTGAGTTATTTCATCTCTCTGAGTCCTGGTTTTCTCATCCATAAAATGGAGAAAATAATGACTACCTAATATGGCTGTTGCAAGAATTAAATTTAAATCTGCCTAGCATGACATAAGCTCAATAATATTAGCTAACAGTATCAGCAGTAATAGTAATAGCAGAGTCTTTGAAATTCTTAATACTAAATTTCCTGCCCTCCTCCTTTAAGAGCAGGTAAGGTATGCAGCCTACACTTGATATTCACAGATTTAACATTTATAGTTTAAACTCTTTTTGTTGCAGAAACACAGAACTAGAGTGTTACGGTACAATTCGGGTAGCCAGAGTCAACGTACAAATGTAGTTAGGAGATTTCATGTCAGTTTTGTTGTTCCCTAATCTTTAAAGTATGTAGATTGTAACTCTTAAGAAGGTATAAAGATCATTGTTTCTTAGGATTATATGGCCTCCAAAAAACAGCAACCTACCACTGTTGATGATGAAAGTGAAAAGACAGAGAAGTTTTAAATTAAATAATGGCTCTAGGGACTTTCTGGAATTGACAAAATAGCAAAGACTAGGCAGATGTTAACCACCAACTGTCAAAGATCTCTACTAAAAGCTAAAGTATTGAATTCTACAATGGCTCATGCCCATTGACAAATTCCCTATTATACTTCTTTACTTTTCCTGCAATGGTCAGCTAGCTAGTAGGTCTTGCAATGTAGCTCTCCATAATGTCAATATTCCACTGTATTAAGTTAAAATGGTTTTAGGAATAAGAAATGTTTTCTAACATTGAGTCATGATGTATTCTAAATTTAAAGGACTTTGAACTGTTCTATTAATAAATGTTCAGATACTGATATAGAAACACAACACTGTTTTTCAAATCTATGTAAACAAGTCAATTACAGAAGCCAATTTATTCTCCCAATAATTTATGCCTCCCATAAAAACCATAGTCTGAGTTGCCCACAGTGATTCATGCCTGTAATCCCAGCACTTTGGGAGGCCGAGGAGGGAGAATCACTTGAACCCAGGTGTTCGAGGCCAACCTGGGCAACATAGTGATACTTCGTCTCTACAAAACCAAAATACAAAAATTAGGTGTGGTGGCATATGCCTATACTTCCAGCCCTTGAGAAGGCTGAGGTAGGAGGATTGCTTGAACCCATAAGGTCAAGGCTGCCATGAGCCATGATAGTGCCTCTGCACTCCAATTCACATGATAGAGACACTGTCTCAGAAACAAAACAAAACAAACAAAATAACAACTATATCCTTGTTTTTACCTGCTTCTTCTGGAAAGTTCCCTGTTGAAATCATCTCCAAGGCGAACTTGTTCACTGCTGAGATCTCGGAGAGACTGATGAAAAGCATGAAGCTAGCAAAGGCAAAACATAGTTATCCATTTAGGATTCTGTTGAATTCCTCCATGAAGACTCTCTAAAGATAAGAATAGGATCCTGTTCTTTACAATGATGACCAAATCTATCAAGTCGTTAATAAACATCTCAGCCAGGCTCGGTGGCTCAGCCTATAATCCCGCGCCTTTGGGAGGCTGAGGTGAGCGGATTGCCTGAGCCTGCGGGTTCGAGACCCGCCTGGGCAGCGAGACCTCATCTCTACAATAAATCAAAAAATCAGCCGGGCATGGTAGCACATGCCTGTAGTTCCGGCTACTAGGAAGGCTGAGGCGGAAGGATCGCCGGAGCCCAGCAGGTCGAGGCTGTGGTGGCCGGGAGCGGCCACTGCACTCCAGTCCGGGCGACCGAGTGAGACTCCAACTCAAAATAAATAAATAAATAAATAAATAAATAAATAAATAAACATCTCTGCAAAAAAAATTTTTTTCAAAGATAAGCAACTTTTAAAAAGCTATATATAACATTAACCATCACATCCTCTACAGTACAGCAGTTCACCTTATACATGCCCTAGAGAAGGGGTCAGCAAACATTTTCTGTAAAGGGCCCAAGAGCAAATATTTCAGGCCTGCCAGCTATACCACCTCTGTCATAATTACTCAACCCTGCCACTTCAGGGCAAACACAGTCATAGACAAACGCATCTGGCTGAGTTACTTTATTCTATCAGCTTATGATGTCCTGGATTGCCAGCTCCTACTGTAGAAAAACTCTGGCCCATGTGACTGGAAATCATGTACTAGAAGCATGGAGCAGCATTATTCACAACAAGAACACAAGAAACAAACCAAAAGTACACCAAGAATAGAACAGAGATAAATAAACTGCAGTATATGCTTCCAGTGGAGAATCATGCAGCAGTGAAAATGAAATTATCAAAGCTATCATACACTAATAAAGAGGAATGTCAAAAACATTACATCAAATTTAAGAAGCAAATTACAAAAGTAGTTAGAAAGTAGTATTCCATTTATATAAAGTTGAAAGGCAGGCAACACTAAACATGAAAAAATCACATTCTTTAAAAAAGCAAAACAATAATAACTATAAAAGTCAGGATAGTGGGTATCCCTTGAGAAAAAAAGAAACATAAAAGAAGCTTGGGAAAATAGTGCTCTATTTCTTGGCCTGCATGGTGGTTACACAATGTTCATTCTCATTGTTGTGTCTTTAATTGTAAATATATATATGCTATAATTTATAACAAAAAATATTTAAGTTATTACAGAGACATAAATTGTTTCATTTAACAAATGCACATGGGCAACTAATTAGAATCACCTACTGGAAAACAAGTAGCTGACTTAGGTGACAGATAAGTAAACAAACCACACAATTTTCACTAGACGCTTTAAGAAGGTACACAGTCAAGTAGAGCTAAAAGTCATCTTTAGAAAACAAGCTTAAAATAAGGAAGAACAATAAAAAGAATGGAGTGGAGGTAGTAGGATTATGACTAAACAACTTAGGTCTTGTCATCAGGATGTTTCAATTTGCAAATCAGAAGTTCATCCTTGACACTTCCTTTTCATTCATTCCTACCTTCCCCCCATGGCTATCTAATCTTCAAGACTTTCCATTTTATCTACTGAATAACTTTTAATTCTATCCCCTTCTCTCCAGCTCTATTTATCTTAATCCGTGACCACTGGTTCACACCCAGAACACAGCAATCGCCTCCTTATGGATCTGCCCACAATGACTACATTTTCTACTCTACAGCCAGAGGGATCTTTTCAAATTAATGCTGTCCACCCCCTCACAAAGTTTTGCATGATCTCAGTCCTTCCTACTTCTTTAACCACACAGTCTTCTTTAAAGCTCTCAAAGGTGCAATCTTCCCTCTATCAAGTGTCGGGAATGACTCTTACTCAAATTTCAAATTTCAGCTAATTCAGCCTTTCTTCAGGAAGCCCTCCCTGACTGGGGTATATCCCTGCACCACACACTCCTGTAGTCCTGTTTCTTTCCATTATAACATGCATCTCAGTTCATAATTATCGCTGTATTTATTATTTACTTATGTGAGTAATATCTAGCTGCTCCTCTAGACTGTAAACTCATTAAAAGCCAAGGTTTTTACTCATCACTGTTTCCAAGTATAAGCACTATCCCAATGACTGAGGCATGGAACAAAGAGAATGAAAGAGTAAATAAGTAATGTTAAAATATCGTTCTCTGTTCTAGGTTAAATCATATGGTCCATGCTAGCAAGTTGCACCTATCAAAAAATAACAGTCAAGAAAAAATGTCCAAAAAAAGGTGTTTTCTAATGCATTTGATCCTATTACCTTTATCTTGTGCTGTAGCAAGTGACAGCTACAGATGAGCATCCTAAGAAAACATTTGAGCACCCAATTTTCAAAGTACCAGAACAAAAAGCTCAAAGTCAGAAATTTCTCTGTCCCTTTTCTAAATAATTTAGCTACCCAAGATAACAAAAGAATTCAGCCCTGAGAACTTTAAAGAAGTAGGAAAAGAAGTATGCCCATATAACTAATACTTCAGAAATCCTTAGCAATACATAAAGTTTGGAATGTCTTACTTAATAGAAAATGGCTCTATCAATGATTCAGCAATCAGAAAAATACTAATGGTAGAAAGTCAATAGATCAAGTACCAAGAACTAACTTGTTCATACTAAATCGAATTTAGCAAAACATAAAGTAGCTGACTTAGCAGGGTTTACAGAATGAGCCACCTGAACAAAGAAGGAAACAAAACAAGTCCAACTAAACTTACTTTCAAGTGTTCTGTAATATATAACCTCCTTAACAAAATACAAAATAAATGCATGATGATTATTTGTACATCAAAAATAAAATAGTTTACTTGGACAATCCTTAAATTCATGCAGACCACAAAACAAAACAAACAAACAGAAAAAAAAAACCTCAGAAAAAGAACATTGCAGAGGTAGCACACTTCCTAACTTCAAAACATTATAAAGTTACTATAATCAAAGCACCATGGCACTGGCATAAAAACAGACACATAAACCAATGAAACTGAATAGAAAACCCAGAAATAAACCCACACATTTACGTGGTTTTACAACTGATTTTTGACAAAGGTGCCAAAATCACAAAACTGGGAAAAGACAGTCTCTTCAATACATGGTGCTGGGAAAAGTGGGTGTCCATACGCAAAAGAATTAAATTAGACCCTTATCTTATACAGTTTCAACCTGAAACTGTAAAACTGCTAGAAAAAACAGATGGGAAAAGCTCCACAACATTGGTCTGGGCAATGATTCTGTGCATATGAGAAAAAGCACAGGCAACAAAAGGAAAAATAAACAAATGGGATTGCATCAAACTAAAGAGCTCCTGTATAGCAAAGAAAACAATTAACAGAGTGCAGAGATAGCCCGCAGAATGGCAGAACATATTTGCAAACCAAATGTCTCACAAGGGGATAAGGAACTCAACAGCAAGAAAACAACCCAATTTAAAAATGGGCAAAGGACCTGAACAGATACTTCTCAAAAGATGACATACAAATGATCAACAGGTATATTTTAAAAAACAGTCAGCACCACTAAACATTAGGGGTCCAAATTAAAACCACAATGAGATATCATCTCTCACCTGTAAGAATGACTCTTATCAAAAAGTTGAAAGGTAAAGTGTACAAAAGGATATGGAGAAAAAGGAATCTTTGTATACTATAGGTAGGAATGCAAATTGATACAGTTATTATGGGAAACTGTATGAAGGCTCCTCAAAAACTAAAATTAGAACTACCATACGACCCATGAATCCTATTTCTGGATATATATCAAAAGGTACTGAAATCAGTGAGTCAGAGGGATATCTGTACTTGCAATAGCCAAGATTTGGAAACAACTTAAGTGTCCATCAACAAATGAGTGGAAAAAGAAAATGTCATTTATAGACACAATGGCATACGATTCAGCTGCTTTTATTATTAATATTATAAAGATGTGGGGTACAATTCAGGGTTAGGAACACAAACGTTGATAATGTAGGTACCCTTGTTGATGAGGTATGCCCCTCTCTCCCCTAGCAGTTTCCCTCAACTGCCAATCCCACCCTCCTTCCCCTGACAGTTTCCCACTACTGCCAACTCCTTTCTTATAGTATTAAAATTGTTCAAGGTCCGCTTATGAGTGAGAACATATGGTACTGATTCAGCTGTTTTAAAAGGAAAACAACAACATGGATGAATGTAGAGGACACTATGTTAAGTGAAATAAGCCAGGCAGAGAAAGGAAAATGCCACATGATCTCACTTATATGTGGAAGGTAAAAAAAAAAAAAAAAAAAACTGTGCTCACAGAAGTAGAGTCGGACAATGGCAGGGAGAAGGAGAGATGAAGAAGGAGAGAATGGAATGGAGAGTTGTTGATCAAAGAATACTGTACAAAGTTTCAGATAGACAAGAGGCATAGGTTTTGAGATTAGTTGCACACAAAGGTGACTAGCATCAATAATAATGTATTATATATATTTCAGCATAAGAGAAGTTCAAAGGTCTCATCATAAAAAAGTGACAGGCAAGTGAGGTGACAGACATTTAGTTACCTCGATTTAATCACATCACATTGTATACATATATCAAAACATCACATCATACTGCATAAATGTATATAACTATGGTCTGTCAAAAAAAAATCAATAAAAACTTTACTTGCTTTAAAAGAAGAAAATCAGTACTAAGTAACTGATGATCAAATTCTTGGTTAAAATATAGCCTAAAAGGTCAAGTGTCAATCATTTACATAGAAATGCAAGAAAATGCTGCATACAGTTTACAGAATGGTACAAAGTACCTCGGCCATATCATCTCTCTCCTGAACAAACCGGACACCAGTTCTGGATTTAATTCGTTTAATACCCTGTGGATCCCCATAGTCCTTGAGAGGTGAGGTAGGTGGAAAACGATGGCTCTCTTTATAATTGAAAGAAAAAAAGAGGGGATTAAAACACTGTAAGAGAAGAAACAGTCTAAAATTTTATTCAGTACATATATGCCAAACATGGATCAACATATATACAAGCCCTTTACCCAGACTACTTCACAAGTGTCTTGCTATGGCTGTGAAGTTCCACAAAACTGATACTAATCTTGCTCTTAATGCAGATAAAATGAACAACAGAAATGATCCGGAAATAGAACATGTCAGAAGTTCCCATTTGCTATTCTTTCCAAAAAAAAACATATTTTCCCACATAAAAATAATAAATCATTAAATTAAAAAAAAAAAACTTTTAAGACTCCTTAATATAACAAAGACTAATAAAACAGATTTTATTTACTTACTTATTTTCTGAGTCAGGGTCTGATTCTGTCACCCAGGTTGGAGTGCAGTGGCATGATCACGCTCACCACAGCCTCAACCTCCTAGGCGCAGGAGATCCTTCTGCCTCAACCTCCTAAGTAGCTGGGCTACAGGCACTCCCCAACACACCTAGGTAATTTTTATTTTATTTTATTTTTGTAGAAACGGGGTCTCACTATGTTGTCTAGGTTGGTCTCAAATTTCTAGGCTTAAGCAATCCTCCCACCCCAGCCTCCCAAAATGCTAGGATTATAGTCATGAGCCACTGTGCCTGGCAGAATTTTTAAAACAAACTAATTATTCTAAAATATGAACAGTATATAAAAATCAATTAAAAACCAACTAACTACATAAAAAATATAGATGATGCTGTCCAGTTTTTAATCATTATCACCATAATCAACAGTAGTATTAACAATGTGAGGCACCAATGTTCAACTTATCTAAATCATCTCCCTTCACTGCAGGTTTTTCTTTTTGATTCAGGCAAGAACTTCAGTGCTATGGGAAAGTATAAGACTAATTAAGGCAAACTATGCATTGTACCATTAATCTAGCCATTGATAGCCAGTTGCACACCAAGGCTAAAATTCACCTGTATCATAGAAGGTTTCATAAAACATCTGAAAAATGATTATACTAGGATAAGGCATCTAACCTAGAAAGTATACCATATAGTATATCTTATTTGTGTGTTTTGTTTTTATTATTTGGCAACACAATTTAATCTAAGTTTTGTCAGATAAAGCTCTATGTGGTTCACAGAGACTGAGTTTGGAAAAACAAAACAGAACAAAGATCCATTAAAGTATTTCAAAATATGAACTATAATAAAATCATTAACAACCGAATGTTCTAACACTAATCTGTATGATGTTATGTTTGGGTTGTATTTCTCCAAAGGTTATTCAATAGGTACTTCAAAAAATATTTTTTTAAAAAAAAAAAGGTTTTTTAGAACATCCGAAGTGTTTACCTGCCCCAGTGCCACCATCGAGGTCACTTGCACTTAGACTTGTAACAGAAAGACTTCTCCCTCCTGAGTTCCTCAATAGACGTTGACTCCGCAGTTGGTCTATTGATTGTTCCAAGCTTTCTTTTAACTAATTTAAAGATTATAACGAAGAAAGTCATTTTTAAAAGTAATTTTAAAATTTTCATATTTTCAAAGCTATTTCTGAACTATCTGGGTACCCCAAAATATTATACCAGAAAAATGTTTAACTAAATTAGGTTAGAAAATATAAAAATAGTAAACATGAATATTTTAAGAACCAATGTTAACAACTGGCTTTAAGTGGCATCTATCACTACCTACTCCATCTTGTATCTACAGAATGTAGAAGAGATGTCTGCTACCTAAAAGCTTACAAAAGCAGAATGAAATGTCTAATTGATGCACCACTCCGGTTTTTGCAGATCTTGACTACAAAATTCCTCACTGCCTTAGTCGTTCTTTGATGGACTCATAATATTATGTTTTCACATTTTTTTCATGTTTCTAGTTGTTCTCAGTAGGAGAACTGATCCAAAATAATCTTATCTACCAATGCCAAAAGCAGATCTTGCCAGTATCCTTTTTATGTAAGCTTATTTGCTAACACATCCTAAGCTGTAACTAAAAGTTGATGGATAAAATGAATTTTCACACATACATACACTCTCTGCCACCAAAAGAAGAAAAAAAAAATGTGACCATGGAACATACGGAAAAATATTGATGAACAGGAGAAATGAAATATTACCCCAAAAGCTAAAAGGAATAAAGAACATTCATATTAATAATTTCAAAAATAAGACAAAAAGTTAAAAAAAACTTTTTAGAGCTGAGCTCGGTGGCTCAGCCTGTAATCCCACGCTTTGGGAGGCTGAGGTGAGTGGACTGCCTGAGCCCGCGGGTTCGAGACCCGCCTGGGCAACTTGGCGAGACCTCATCTCCACAATAAATCAAAAATCAGCCGGGCATGGTAGCGCATGCCTGCAATTCCAGCTACTCGGAAGGCTGAGGTGGAAGAATCGCCGGAGCCCAGTGGGTCGAGGCTGCAGTGGCCGGGAGCGGCCACTGCACTCCAGTCTGGGCAACAGAGTGATACTCCAACTCAAAAAAAAAAAAACTTTTTAGCAACCTCATTTTAAAACTCTAACAAGATACATCCCTAAGCTATTGGAGAAGAACAGGCTGACTTCTAAAGTCCAATAAATGAATTTTATATTAAGTAAAAGTAGATGAATAAAATAAAGACTATTTTAAATTACTCCTACAAGCATCATTGCAAAAACAGAACACCTAAAACATAAAACTAAAAATGTAACAAAATTAAAATCTGCGCTTAAAGTAGTAACAACATGACATTGAATAAAAGTTAATCGTGATGTATGAAACCAAAACTTAAAACACAAAAACAGAGAGATAAGGTATAAAGTCATAAAAAACTGTTATAAACTCTTTAGGATTTTTAACCTCTAACTAGGTGCAAAACCATTTCCTATGATGGATGATGCTATTTTGCTGAAACTAAGTCAATCTCAACCCAAGACTGTGGTATTAACTACAATGGTATAAATTCTTTTAAGTCTAATATGACTATCTCACCACATACCAAGTGATGACACCATTCTCCCCCACTTTCCCCTATCTAAAATACTACAAAATGAACATTATAGAACATGCTATTAATATGCTGCACATATTTTCACCTCAACTTGATATGAATGCATCATTTACAGATTAGGTCTATTATTTTATCTCTGCTCATTTGCTATTAGACTAAAACAACTGAAACATTACTACTCTGCACCAGTAAAAATACAAATAAAACATGGGCACTAAAACTGAATGCCAACACTTGTTTATAAGGTACAAGATGTGCTTGTAGACTTAGGAGCCAAGTTCAGTAGGCTCCCTCTAACCAAAGATGAAACAACTTGAGCATCAACAAGAATGTTAACTGCAATGGACTGAAACACTTTAAATATGCACATAATTGTGAGTTAATGATGATAATCAATGGCAAAAAAAAGTCATTTGTCACCAGTAGGGGATACAGGAAACCCTATTTTATTTTGGAAACTAGTAAATAAATTAAATTTTAAAAAACTATAGAGGCTTTTAGATTATCATTAAAATAAAATGCTAAATTTTAAAATTCTCATAGAGATTTCTGATAGTCCTCTGATGTCTCCATTTGGAAAAATTTCGATTAGAAACAAAACATAAACCAGGATTAGAGAGCTGAAAATAAAGTATATAAAACTCAAAAGAATTGACTACACTGCGACGTGAATCTATGAAAGGCAACAATGGGTACTCCACAGAAAAGTGACCCCAAAAACATGAGTCAGAAGGACCAAAGGGAAGCCTGGCATGATTCTCTCAACTGCACCACTTTCACTTATGCTCCCGCTCCTGTCCACATTCTTCACACTCCATCAGATAATAATAGCTTTCTCTATGTTTTATTCTGAAGATGAAATAAGAAAATTTATATAAAATAATTACACCAATGCCTGGGGCAGATTTGGTTGTTCAGTAAATGGTAGTTTTTAATCATTATGATTAATGGCAATGACTATAAAAGCAAAAAATAAATGGAATGAAAAAATGGGATGCTTTAATCTGGAGAAGCTATTTAGAAGAGTTTGTCACTCCCTAAAAATGACTTCACTGAATTCCTCTGGCTGCATATCTAGAGGTTCTAGAATGAACACTGTGAATATTCCCACTGTCAGCTGTTTCTTCTATAACCCCACACATAATTCGATATGAATCGAATTCCATTTCCAGCATTATGACTTTTCATTTATTTGCTGCACTTTCATCTTTGTTGGGCAATTCTGTTTTGATTATTTATTTTTTGTAAAATAGCATATGGGTTTATTATTGAGAGACGCACACACACACAAAAGTTAACAACCACACTTTTCACTGTCTGTGACCAATCACCAACAGAATGCAAAAGACTGATCTGTCAGTTACACAGTAATGTGTGGACTAAAGAGGTAACAGCAAACTTTGTACTTTACACAGTTACTTATAGTAGATGCAATGTAGTGACTGAAATTTGAACTGTATGGTTTAGGAACTGGTGTTATCTGAGTAAACTGAGGTAATGCACTCCATGTACGTTGCAACCATCCAAGAACTGTCTGTATTTGCTTTTCAGAGTCCTCAGACAGCTGGGGTGCTAAGGCTTTATAGCCCCATGCAGTGGAAGAATGTGCTAACTCTGTCTTACCTAGAACTGGAACTGTTTTGCTTTTGTTTTTGTTTCCAACTTTATTGAGGTAGAATTGACAAATACCTGGGTTTGTTTTTTGTTTTTTTAAGTAAAATTCTATTAACTTTCCAAAGTTCATAATTGCAAGCTGCTTGTCCCCTAAGATAAGGTTTCCAAGCAACAGTAAACAGTTAGGAAACTAGGAACTAACTCCACCTAGAAATGCTTAAGAAATAAATCATTTGAGCCGGCTTGGTGGCTCAGCCTGAATCCCACGTCTTTGGGAGGCTGAGGTGAGTGGATTGACTGAGCCCGCGGGTTCGAGACTCGACTGGGCAGCGAGACCTCATCTCTACAATAAATCAAAAAATCAGCCGGGCGTGGTGGTGCACGCCTGTAGTTTCGGCTACTTGGAAGGCTGAGGCGGAAGGATCGCCAGAGCCCAGCAGGTCAAGGCTGCGGTAGCTGGGAGCGGCCACTGCACTCCAGTCTGGGCGATGGAGTGAGACTCCAACTCAAAAAAAAAAGAAAGAAATCATTCAATAAAATGTGGCTTCAATAAGGCAAGATGGGAAGTGGAAAAGAACACAGGCATAAACTTCCTTGGTCAACATACAGCATCAATAACTGTTTCACTAATAACCAGTGTATCTCAAATATTCATATTCTCAACAAAACTAATACCATCCTTGACTAAGTTCACTCAGGGAGAGGAAAAAGAATCATACTATAAATTGTCATTAGGAAATTCATAAAAGACATCTATCATTACTTGCACAAAAAAAGCGTAATAGAAATAAACTAGGAAGAGTAAATTACTCACAAAGATAGTGGCTACCAAAAATTCATCAAAATTAGTTTCTATACAAATGAAAAATACAACTTTAAAAAACAGTAACAATCTTGGAAAAAATTTCTAAATGCTGCAATTTAAAGTTGGCTTGAATTTTGGAACCCATTTAGTGATTCTATTTCATTTCTTTGAACATTTTATTCCAAATTTTTATTTTTATACTAAAAAATACATTCCCGCCAGGCTCAATGGCTCAGCCTGTAATCCCAGCGCTTTGGGAGGCCTAGGTGAGTGGACTGACTGAGCCCACGGGTTCGAGACCTGCCTGGGCAACTTGGCAAGACCTCATCTCTACAATAAATCAAAAAAAATTAGCCGGGCGTGGTAGCACGCACCTGTAGTTACAGCTACTTGGAAGGCTGAGGCGAAAGGATTGCCGGAGACCAGCAGGTCAAGGCTGCAGTGGCCGGGAGCGGCCACTGCACTCCAGTCTAGGTGACAAAGTGAGACTACAACTCAAAAAAAAAAAAAAATACATTCCCTAACACAATATAGAGTAAGCAGAAAGGCTTGCAAAGTTAGTCATGTATAGATAAATGTACTCATTTGGTTGTATAGTTGAGCATAAACTGGAAATATCTAAATATTTTGCCTAACTGTCCAGCATTGTTTTCACCTGTCTCTAAAGGGTCAGTATTTAGCAAATATTCACAAAGTATATGGATGCATACATATGACCATGGAGACAGTTTGTGTTTTAAGTTTAAAGATATCAGTAGTGTTAACATAAAAAGTTTTAAGTACTTTCATTTATATGTTATGGCTCAGTTTGACAAAATACAGGGCAAAATTGGAAGCAGAAGAGGGGTAATCTTAAAAAATTTTACCCAGGATAATGTCATCCTAAGGCACTTTGACTGTTAAGTGCTTTATGCTTGGCTTTCTTTATCTCACTGCCTGCTTCTTTACAGAATGCCAAGGCTGATCTGTCAAACAACTTATAAAAAGTTTGTTGTAGAGTTAATATTAGCACTATTTTGGTTACTTACAATCTATTTATCTCTTCCAGAGAAGGAAGAAGAGGAGAAAAACT